TTTTTCAGTGGTGTTGTAGCTTTGAACAGTCACTAAATGGACTGTTATAAGTCAAGGACGATGTATATTGCTGCCAGGAAGATGTAGAAATGTGTTGTAGAGTCAATCTTTGGCTATGACCACCCTTAGTGAAGACTTTGTCTCCATCATGTTGTCTTCCTCCCATTCACAACCCATGAGCTTCATCTCCCCCGTAATTCTGACGGGATTAAAGCACAGGCAGTCCTCGACTTACGACCACAATTGGGAACAGAGTTCCCATTGCTAAGCAAGGCAACTGTTTAATGAGTCACCCCTGATTTTGCAAACTTTTTTTTTTTTTGCCACGGCTGCTAAGGGAATTGCAGCAGTTGTTAAGTGAACCCTGCCGTCATTAAGCGAACCCGGTTTCCCCTGTTTACTTTGCCTGTTAAGATATTGGCTGGGAAGGTTACAAATGGTGATCACGTGACCCCAGGATCCTGCCACCATTGTGACTACACACATGATCACATGACTGTGGGGAAGGGCGTGATGGTTTTAAGTGTGGGAGCCAATCGTGACTTTTCCCAGGGCAGTTGTAACTTCGAACGGTCACTCAGCAAGTGGTTGTAAGTTGAGAACTACCTGTAGTATTTTCCATCTTCTGGGATCATTCCAGCTGGCTTCCAGGGGTGAATAATCTCTTCATGAGAAATCAGGAGTGGATTAACTGGGAACAGAGGCAAAAAATGCAAAAAAGGGAATTTGATAATGAAGATATCATATGTCACAGCTAATTTAGGGATGATGTTTTCTGTCTCTCAAGTGTGCTTTGGGGAGAAGCTGTTGGAGGGGTATACAGTTATTTTCCCTTTACAGCTAGTCCTTGATTTATAACAGTTCATTTAGTGACCATTCAAAGCTACAACGGCACTGAAAAAAGTGACTTATGACCATTTTTCACACTTATGAGCGTTGCAGCATCCTCAGGGTGACGTGATCATAATTTGGATGCTTGGCCACTGGCTCAAATTTATGACGGTTGCAGTGTCCCGGGGTCACATGATCCCCTTTTGCGACCTTCTGACAAGCAAAGTCAATGGGGTACGCCAGACTCACTTAACGACTGTTACTAACTTTACATCTAGAGTGATCCACTTAACATAAGTGGCAAGAAAAGTTGTGAAATGGGAAACAAAGTCAACAAATTTCTCATTTAACCACATAAATTTTGGGCTCTGTTGTGGTCTTAAGTTGAGGACTACCTGTATATTTCCCCCCTGACTCAAGAATGATTTACCATTCATGAACAATTTACCCAAGAACCATGGTTTATCCCCCTTTCCATTTTAAACCAGACCTGTATGATATTTCGTTCAGCCTTCCTGAATGCGTGCATTGCTCAAAATGTGCTACTATCTAGCAAGTGTGTTTGTTTCCATAATTGTGGCTGTGGAAGTGCAGATAAAAGCAACCACATGCAAAAGCCAACTATAGCTATTGGAGATAGGAGGGCTAACAGGATAAGCAAAAACGATTAAATATTTTTTCTGCCTTGCTTTAGTTCAACTTTATCATCCCTCTCTGGCATCTACTTACAAAACTTGTACAGATGTGTGTGTGTGAATATACAGTGATAGGTAGGTAGGTAGATAAATATATAGATATTCAGACACACAGAGACACACACAGACACACACACGCACACACATCCTCAAATTCTCCCTCTCTCTTTTTCTTTTCTCAAAATGGGTTGTTATGCAGCATGGAGCTTTCAAAATTCAGGCATATTAGAAAATCTTACTTCACAAGAAAGAGCACTACTGATTTCAAGGTAGTGACTCAATCATCAATAGCTGATTTTAAACATGCTTACGATAAATACGACCATTATCTGACATTTTTTAAAAAAATATATAAAATTAATTAATTTTTTTTAAAAAAAAAAAACAAATTCCAAGTGTAGATTCAATGGACCACAAATTCTTTTTCTGCCATCAATATTTCTCTGGAAATACTTTTCATCATAGATTTGGGGTGAAATGAATTCCTTCTTCTCTAGTTTTGCCGTTCAACTAGACTTAAATTCTAGTTGCTCTTTCTGGATTATTTTCAGAGGCCTTACTAAGAGCAAACTACCTTAGGATGGAATGGGGTGCAGATGGATGAACAAGTTTCTTATGTCCACAAGGCCTCATTTCTATATACAGTAGATAAAGGTAGTCCTCAAGTTACAACAACGTAGTAAGCCCGTGAGTCACGCTGGTCGTAAAGCTGACCATCCATGAGACCAATCTGATTTTATGACCTTTTTTGGAAGGTGGTTATTAAATGAATCCTGCAGTAGTTAAGTAATTGTTCATTATTTTTCCAAAAACAGGAACTGAATAATGGTTTTTTGGCAAAAACATTGTAAAACCCAGCCATATGAGCGCAAGAGTCTGTACAGATCAGGTCCTATCTGGGTCAAGGATTCCCTCCCTACAAAAGGCTAAAAGTCCAATAAGAAACAAAAATAGAAAAAAGAAAGACTAAGATGTAGAGAAAAAACATCACGACATAAAGAAGTGTGTACTTCTTGTATTTCTTTATTGCTTTTTACCTTATAAGCCCCCCAGATGGGCTGCAAACAAAATTAATAAATAAATACGTTAAAAGTGGCTTCTAATTTTCTCCCTAACAGTTATAAATACAGGTAGTCCCCCACCAATGACCACCCTTGAGCCCAAAATTTCTGTTAAGTGAGATATTTGTTAAATGGGCTTTTGCTCCATTTTACAACCTTTCTTGCCACAGTTGTTAAGTGAATCACCGCAACTGATAAGTTAGTAACCCAGCCATTAAGTGAATTTATTTATTATTTATTTATTAAACTGGCTTCTGGCTTCCCAATTGGCTTTGCTTGTCAGAGGGTCCCAAAAGAGGGATCACGTGACCCCCAAGACACTGCAACCGTCATAAATGTGAATCAGTTGTCAAGCATCTGAATGTAAATCACTTGATTATGAGGTTGTTATAACAGTCGTAAGGGTGAAAAATGGTCATAAGTCACTTTTTTCGGTGTCGCTGTAACTTTGAACTGAATCAGGTCACTAAATGTACTGTTGTAAGTCGAGGACTACTTGCATAATTATATATCAACTGATCTCTAAAGTCACATCGCAACTCTCTTTCTGTCTATAATCTATCCTGTGTAATCCTCAAAACCTTAAAATCACATTTGATTTGTTTTTACGCAAAAAGTCCATCAGAGATCACCAATAAATGTAGTCTTTTCTCTAATCCAAAGAAGTCACCACCTCCACCCATGTTCCCTAGCACAACAACTTTGGGAGGTACGTCAGATGCGAGAGTGTGCCCCAGTGGTGGGATACAACTGGTACGCCCCAGTATGGGCCTACTGGTGCCTGCTGGGAGCACCAGGTACCGTTCTGGTACGGTGCTCCGGAGGGCCCACCCACCCACGCTCCTTACCGCTATTTGAGCCTATCGGGGTTTCACGCAAGCGCATGTAGCATATGGTGCCTGCGCAATGCTCCACCAAGCAGCTGGAGCATCGCGGGCAGTAAGTATACATGTGTGCGCTGCGCACCTTCATGTGGTTGATGCCGGGCCCCATTGCAGGGTTCCGGTTGCAATGGGATCCGGAACCCACCATTAGTGTGCCCGTTACAATGTCTCATAAGGAGCTTTAGTGGCTGAGGGGGGGATTAGAACTCAGATCCCTTCGCTCATAGTCTTCCACCTTCACCACTATGCTGTTTTAGCTGTTGGGATAAGAGGGAGGACTGGCCCAAACAACCCATGAGATTTCATGGCTAAAGGAAAACTGGAACCGGAATCTTCCTGTTCTAAGTCCACCATCCTTTCTACTAGCACAGGGGTGTCAATTTCATTGAGCTTGGGGGGCTGGGGTAGGCGTGACTGGGTGGGCGTGGCCAGCTGGGTGGGCCAACTGTCCTGCCAGTGAAAATGGGCTCCCGAGTTCCGTTTCTCGCTGTGACAGCCTCCTGCAACCTTCTGCCAGCGAAAACGGAGCTCGTGAGAGTCACAAGCAGCCCTCCCAAGCTCCATGCTGGCAGAGGCACTGAGGCGGTCAAACCCCACTACAGATAGTTCTCACTTAACAACTAATCATGTAGCAAGTGGCCAAAGTTATGACATATCCCTCCGAAAGCTACCTGGTTCTGACGTTCTGAAGGCCGGCCCCTTCTCCTGAGGTCGTGCAACTGCATTTTGAATGCTTGGGAACTGGCTGGCATTCATGGCTGTTTGTAACAGAACAGAACAGTACAGAATAACAGAGTTGGAAGGGACCTTGGAGGTCTTCTAGTCAAACCCTCTGATCAGACCCTGTAACAGTTCAGACAAAGGGTTGTCCAATCTCTTCTTAAAAACCTCCAGGGATGGAGCATCCACAGCTTCTAAAGGCAAACCATCCCACTGATTTGCATCATCTTGCAGTCCAGCGACCATGATTTACAATTGTTTTTTTTTGGTGTGGAAAACTTGCATTTGTTTCTGCTTTCCACCCAAAAAACAACCCAAAACACCCATTGCAAATGATGGAATCCTTTAGTGCAGCTTTCGCTTCACAACTGTTGCGCTAAAGGTTACAAAATCAGTCAGGGTCACCTGGTGGCCTCTTTAATGACCACCACTACTTACAGCCATAATTCTGGTCTCAGTTGCTGGGTTGGGCTGAGAGACAGCGACTGGCCCAAGTCCACCTTCCTTGCAGACGTTTCATTACCCAACTAGGTCACGTCATCAGTGCTGTGATGTAGGTTGGTCAGACAGAGGAGCACAGGCCTAAACTTCTCCAAGCGCCTCCATAGCTAAATGATAAACGTGAGCTGGAGTATATCCTCAGTGTCAGCCCAGCATCCTTTCCTCATTCTGCCAGAAATTGCTGTCCTCCAGCGTGACCCGGGTATTGCGTCTTAAAACTGTCCTTCACCACCCAGGAGTAAACCTTGATCTACTTATGCTGGCGCCCTGGGATGTCTCTTAACTTTTGGAATCCCCCTCTGTTTCAGATGAAAAATTCCCTGGAGTTTTAGCTGCATCTGATAACAGAAGTCACGCGACTCCTCAAGGAGAGGGATTCTCCCCATCTCTCTCCTCCATCAAGGAACAGTCTGCTCTATATCTTTCCCGGGTAGCAGCTGCTGCTGCTTATTCCACCAACCGTCGGAGCCAGCGGGTGAGTTTTCCATGCTTTGCATTTCTGCCATGTTTCTGCCTCTCTGGAACTATTTTAGCAATGTCCTTCTCCAGCAAATGTTCATTCGGATGGAAAAATATGTGTATATCTATTTACTTTTCAGTGCCATCATGAGCTTTTGCGGCAAAACTGCCCCTTGTGCCACTAACCACATATTTCATGCCTCTGAATGTTACGGGAAGCAGAAATGAACAAGGGACTTTGTAAAAATTTGCAAACTCCAAAGTGCAAAAATTAGAAATCCTGGGCTCAGATGGCATCAAAATATATGAAGAAAGATTTTAGAAGAAGGTCTATACCAGCTTTTCAATTGGAAGTCAAAAGTGGTAGATTTCACTGCCCGTAGTTCCTTGCCAGGCTGGCTAAGAAACATGGGAGATGGCTCTCTAAAGCCTTGAGCTAGGAAAGATGAACTTTACTACAAATGGATGATGCTGTATATTAGTGTCCAAGGGAACTATCATTATAACCAGCAAATTTGTCAGAAATTCTGTTGACAATCAGATGGGCATTAGATTTGTAAGCCGCCCAGAGTCATTTAGTTGAGATCGGCAGCTATAGTAAGTAAGTACTTACTTCTTTCTCTTACCAAGAGAGAGGAAGGAAGGAGAAAGAAAGAACAAAGAGAAAATAGATAGATAAATAGATAGGTAGATAAATAGGTAGGTAGGTAGGTAGATCTATAGATTGAGAAAGAAAGAAAGAGAAAGAAAGGAAAGAAAGAAAGAAAGAAAGAAAGAAAGAAAGAAAGAAAGAAGGCGGGAGGGAGAAGGAATGAAGAAGTAAGAAAGAGAGAAAGGAAGAAGAAAAAAGAAAGAAAGAAAGAAGGAAGGAAGGAAAGAAAGAAAGAAAGAAAGAAAGAAAGAAAGAAAGAAAGAAAGAAAGAAAGAAGGAAATACAGATTCTCACTTAGCAGTCTAAACTCCATCAGTTCCTAGATATTCAGTTACGATTTATTTAATTCTATGGCCTGAACTTAATTGTGACATTTCTAAGTGACTGAACTGTTCCTTCTTCCTTGATTTGACAGAAAACTACACCATTACAACCCCATTGTTATTTTCTTTGCCTTTTTAACCCGACTTTCCCCCAGATTAATGGGTGATAAAACCGAAAGATTTTATATACTTTTGATGCTGTGTTTTCTCAGTAATGGAAGAAGAAGAAGAAAAGGGAGGAAAATGCCACTGTAATGTCGATCCAACTAATGACCACTTAAGATTGACCCACTCTTAGGCTGGGGAGGAGACGAAGGACCCAGCAAAGCAGCGTTCGCCGATCTTAGCCATGTTAAGATATGTGGACTTCAATTCCCAGAATATCCCAGCCAGCATGGGATATTAACATGGCTAAGATTAGCGAACAGTGCATTAGAGGGACACCACAGAAAAGTGAACCAAATATAGTGTGTTTGCATTTTATGGTTTGGCATAAGGGGAGAGTGGGTCTGCAGCATAACGAACAAGCAAATATAGGCAGTCCTCAACTTATGGCCATAATTGAGCCCAAAACTTCCATTGCTAAACAAATAAGTTATGTTAAGTAAGTTATGTCCCATTTTACAACCTTTCTTGCCACAGTTGCTAAGTGAATCACTGCAATTGTTAAATTAGTAACATGGGTTGTTAAGTGGATCTTACCTCTCCATTGACTTTGCTTGCCAGAAGGTTGCAAAAGGGGGATCACTTTTGCAGGACACTGCAAACGTCATAAATATGAATCAGTTGCCAAGTGTCTGAAGAAAGAAAGAAAGAAAGAAAGAAAGAAAGAAAGAAAGAAAGAAAGAAAGAAAGAAAGAAAGAAAGAAAGGTTAAATTTATATCATACACTACCCGTGTATAAATCATGCACCATCTAAACTGCTTTTCTGTTTTTCTATGTTCTATTCAGAATTTCATACACCAGATTCCTTATAATACTCTTGATAACCAGTAATCAAGCAGGTAGGAAATTCTTAGACTATGGTTGCCTAACCCAATTTCTGCTGTCAAATGGCTGCAGTTCTTGTGATAATTGCATTTTTGGAACTCCACTAATCCAAATTAGTTTGCAAATGCCGTTTCATTCCTTCTTCTTCTTCTAGCTTACTCTCACAGTAGTTTCTTGCTTATTAAAAAAACGTATGTTCGTGCATATAACTGAGGAACTCACCATGTTAAAAATGTGCAGGAGATGGAGTGGATTCATATGTTTTAATTCAGGGATCTCTTTGATTTTGTACATTATGCAAGTCCATCAGGTCCTGTGAGAGAAAGGAATGAAAAGCAAATAATCCAGCTATTTTCTTCCACTGTATCTTTCCTTCTTTCTGTAATTTTGCCTGCTATAGAAGTTGGCATCTTTTACCTCATTGGGTTACGAAGCTAAGGGGGATCAGGCCCATTAATAGCTGCATGAGAGATACAAGTAATCCACAACTTACGGGCCATCATTGAGCCCATTTTTTTCTGAGATAGTTGTGAAGTGAATTTTGCCCAATTTTACAACCTTTCTCACCACAGTTGTTAAGTGAATCACTGCAGTTGTTAAGTGAATATGGCTTCCCCATTGACTCTGTTTGTCCAAAGTTTGCAAAAAGTGATCCCATGACCTGGGACACTGCAATTGTCATAAATATGAATCAGTTGCCTAGCAGGGGAATTTTGATCACATGACCATGGGGATGCTAGAACCCCATGTGTGGAAAATACCGTATTTTTCAGAGTATAAGACGCACCATTTTCCTTCAAAAAAGAGGGTGGAAATCTGGGTGCGTCTTATACACTGAATACAGCATTTTTTTTGCCTCCTGAAACCCAGCCCCCTTTGCAAAATGGCCGTGCATAGCCTTTAGGAGGCTTCCAGAGTGCTCCTGGGGGCTGGGGAGGGCAGAAATGAGCGATAAATGGGCCATTTTCTGCTCATTTTTGCCCCCTCCCATCCTCCAGGAGCACTCTACAAGCCTCCTAAAAGCTATTCATGCCCTTTTTAAAACAAAAAACCCAAAATAGACCCGTTTTTTGAAAAACAGGCTGATTTTGGGAATTTTGCAGAGTGCAAAAACTTTTTCTTTTCATTTGCCTCTTCAAAACCTTGGTGCATCTTATACTCCGGAAAATACGGTAGGTGTGGGAAACAGTCATAAGTCTCCTTTTTCAGTGCCGTTGTAACTGTGAACGCTCACTAAATGAACTGTGATAAGTCAAGGACGGCCTGCATACCAGAGAATCATAGAGCTGTAGGCTAAATTGGGAAACTGAAAAGTAATCTTGTTTTCAACCTTGGAAGCTTTCAGATGTGCTGACTTCAACTCCCAGAATTCCCCAGCCAATCATGGGAGCGGAAGTCCTTACTTCTGAAACCTCTGACTGTGATCCAGTTGAAAATGTCCATCCATGTGACTCAGTTGCTGAGCCCAAAAAGAAGGGGACGGTTTGACCGTCAGAACTTCAAATTCAGGTCCCAAGTATCCCCACAGGAGGATCTGTCAGAACTTCAGTCAGTCACTAAGCGGCTAGTCATAAGTCGAGGACTATCTATATGAAAACCATAAGGCACCCCACAGACCCCCGAGGCTCCAATATATAATTCTTTCAATATGAATTACTTCAACAACCATGGAACACAGAATAAAACATTTGGAAGGGACCTTGGAGATCTTCTAGTCCAGCCCCCCTGCTCAAGCAGGAGACTCTCTATGGCTAACATCGCATGCCAAAAGTGAGTGCGTGCATGGCCACACCCAGAATGCACTGTGCATGCGACACCCCCACAATCACCCCTCCCCCTGCGCATGCACGCGCCACATTTTGTGCCTAGCAGGCCTCCCTGCAGCCTCCTGCGACCAAAAAATGGGATGCAGGGGGGCACACTGCTCCCCCATGCTCCCCCATTCCCATACATTTACGTGTGACCCCCCCAAGCATGCATGGCAGTGACCTGAAAATCAGCTGGCCGGCATACATGCGTGGTGCAGCTGCGCATGTGTGCCGGCCAGCTGCAACTTCTGAAGGCAATCCGTTCTATTGGTTGATTGCTCTCACTGTTAGGACATTTCCTCTTAGTTCTAGGTTATACAATAATACAATAGCAGAGTTGGAAGGGACCTTGGAGGTCTTCTAGTCCAACCCCCTGCCTAGGCAGGAAACCTTATACCATTTCAGACAAATGGCTATCCAACATCTTCTCTTCTTGATTAGCTTCCGTCCGTTGTTTCTCTTCTCGCCTTTTGATGCTTTGAAAAATAGTTTGACCCACCCCCATCTTTGTAGGAACCCCTCAAATGTTGGGACATTGAGATTGTTGTTGGAAATATTGGAACCTCCAAGATTCCAACTCTCCAGCTAAAACCATTGAAGAATAGGATGCCTAAATGATTCTTTCCAAACAAGATCTTCTTGATGCTGATTTGTTGGGTGACAATGAATCAACCAATCCATCAGTCAGTCAGTCAACCATTTTAACACAATGAATTGAAATTTAAGGGATGGTTTTGGAAGACTTCTAATCTTTGGAGCTGCTTCACACACTTATTTGTTGGTTTTCCTGAACAATGAAAAAATGAAAATGACCAGAAACTTTTAGAGCCGAGGTGGCGCAGTGGTTAGAGTGCTGTACTGCAGCCACTTCAGCTGACTGTTATCTGCAGTTCGGCGGTTCAAATCTCACCGCCTCAGGGTTGACTCAGCCTTCCATCCTTCCGAGGTGGGTAAAATGAGGACCCAGACTGTGGGGGCAATATGCTGACTCTGTAAACCGCTTAGAAAGGGCTGAAAGCCCTATGAAACGGTATATAAGTCTAACTGCTATTGCTATTGCTATTAAACATGCAAGAGTAGCAGGATAACAGAATTGAAGGGACCTTTAAGATCTTCTACGCCAACCCCCTGCTGAGGCAGGAGGCCCTATATACCATTCTAGACCGATGGCATTTCAATATCTTCCTAAAAACCTCTAGTGATGGGGCACCCATAACTTCTGAAGCCTTCCATTTGTTAATT